ACGTGGACGGCGACGGCGACGTCGACGTCCTCTCGGCGGATTGGACGGAGGAGAGGGTCGCCTGGTACGAACATTACTGCGTGACGGCCGCGCCGACGGTGACGCCGACCGTGACGCCGCGGCCGACGACGCAATGCGACCGCTTCCCGTTCCTCGAGCGCGTCGTCGCCGACACGGCGGACGGCGCCGAAAGCGTCTACGCGATCGACGTCGACGGCGACGGCGACGTGGACGTGCTCTCCGCAAACTTCAAGGACGACGCGGTCGCGTGGTACGAGAACGACGGCTCCCAGTCCTTCACCGAGCGCGTCATCACGAACGCTATGAACGGTGCCTACTACGTCTTTGCGATCGACGTGGACGGCGACGGCGACGTCGACGCGCTCTCGGCGGCCTACTACGACAACACGGTCGACTGGTACGAGAACGACGGGTCCGAGTCCTTCACTGAGCGTGAGATCGCGACGTCGGTGAATGGAGCCCGATGCGCGTACGCGATCGACGTCGACGGCGACGGCGACGTCGACGTGCTCTCGTGCGCGGGAGGTGACGACACGGTCGCGTGGCAGGAGAACGACGGCTCGCAATCTTTTACGGAGCGCGTCATCACGGCGCTGGCGGATGGAGTCCGAGGCGCGTACGCGATCGACGTCGACGGCGACGGCGACGTCGACGCGCTCTCGGCCTCCAGCACCGACGACACGGTCGCGTGGTACGAGAACGACGGCTCTCAGTCCTTCGGCGAGCACATCATCGCGACGCTCACTGAGTATGGGGATCCCATGGAGGTCTACGCGATCGACGTCGACGGCGACGGCGACGTGGACGCGCTGTCGGCGGCCTTCTACTACGACATGGTCGCGTGGTACGAGAACGACGGCTCCCAGTCCTTCACCGAGCGCGTCATCACTAACGCGGCGGACGGTGTCTACTCCGCCTTTGCGATCGACGTGGACAGCGACGGCGACGTCGACGCGCTGTCGACGTCCGAGAACGACGACACGGTCGCGTGGTACGAGAACGACGGGTCCGAATCGTTTGACGAAAAGATCATCTCGAGTGAGAGGGACGGCCAGAGCGTCTTCGCCGTCGACGTCGACGGCGACGGCGACGTGGACGTCTTGGCGGCCGCCTGGGACGACGACGTGGTCGCGTGGTACGAGAACGATTGCGCCACGGCCGCTCCGACGATGTCTCCGCGGCCGACATCGACGCCGACCTCGACCCCCACGTCTGCGCCGACGTCTGCGCCAACGCACGTCCTCTGCGAGCCCGGGACCTACTCGCCGGACCGGTCCGGGGCGAAATGTGAATCGTGCGTGGCGGGCAAGTTCTCCAACGGCACGGGCGCCGACTCCTGCGCCGTGTGCCCCGTGAACACGTTCAGCGAGGGCGGCGCGGCGGTCTGCACCGACTGCGAGAGCGGAAGGAAATCTGGCCTCGGGTCTGATAGCTGCGGCTATTGCCTCGAGGGCCAGTACCAGACGCTCGACGCGGACGGGGCGAAGGTGTGCGTCGACTGCGACGCCGGCTGGTACTCGTCCCTGGGCCTCACGTGCCTCCCGTGCGGCCCGGGGCTCCACACGACCGACGGCGTCGCGTGCGTCTCCTGCGAGTCCGGGAGGTACAGCAACGGCACGGCGAACGACGGCTGCGCGGACTGCCCCGCGGGCGCGTCCGCGGCGAGCGGCGCGTCGCTGTGCGCGGCCTGCGCCGCCGCGACCTGCGAGGCCGGGACCTGCGGCCAGGGCACGTACAGCTACGCCGCGGCGTCGGCGAGCTGCCTCGCGTGCCCCTACCCGCTCGTCGCGACGACGTCGGCGTCGTCCTACTGCGACGGCTGCGTCGCCGGCAGGGCAGCAAAAGAGAGCGAAATTCCCAACTTCAAAGGCTCCTTTCTCGGCCGATTTCCACTCGTTTCGGCTGATTTTTGGACGAGCGATCATCTCTCGGAGCGGTCTCGACGCGTGGGCGCTTTTCTCGTGACGCGCACGCGCGGAACACTCAAGTTGAAGCGACGTTGAATCACCCTTTTGCTGCCCAGGTCGCCGGCTCGTACTGGTCCGACGACTGGCACTCTGCTTTCTTGGAGAGCAACTCGCACGAGGACGGCGCCCAGTGCGCGGCCTGCTGCCGGGCCTGCCCTGACGGCAGTGCATGCGACGAACTCGGGCACACCGCGGAGACGATCGTCGTCGAAGCGGGCTACTGGCGCGGCTCCGTCGCGTCCGTCGAGGTCGAGGCGTGCGTCCGCCGCGGCAACTGCCCGGGGGGCGCGGCCCTCGGCGGCGACGACCTCTGCGACGACCACTCCGAGGGCATCCGCTGCAACGAATGCGAGGCGGGGTTCTACCTCGGGCCCGGCGGCGCGTGCGCCGCCTGCGGGTCGTCGCGCGTCAAGCTCGCGGCCCTGGGCGTCGGGCTCGCGGCGGCCGCGGCGGCCGCCTACGTCGCGCGGCCCTACGCGGCCCGCGTGCGCTGGAAGAAGAAGGATTGGTGGCTCACGACGCTCCTCACGCTCTGGTACACGGCGCAGTCGAACGCCGTCTTCTTCCGCATCGAGGGCCTCGACCCGCCGGCGCCGTTCAGCCTCGTGCTGTCGGCGCTGGACGTCGTCACGCTCGAGTGGGCCAAGGGGCTCGTCTTCACGCCCTGCGACCTCTTCAGCTACTACGCCAAGGTCGTCGCCGTGACGGCGGCGCCCGCCGCGGTCCTCGTCGCCGTCGCGGTCGCCGGCGCGGCGCACGCGGCGCTCCGGGGCCGCGACCTCGAGGACCTCGTCGACGCGTACCTCGCGGCCTACGTCGCCGTCTTCCTGCTCTGTCATGTGTCCTTGTGCGTCTCCATCGGCGTCCCGCGACGATTTTCGAGAGATTTGGGGTGGGAACACGAAGCAACGCCGTCATCGCGCGGCAGGTCTTCATCTTCGACCACTTCCGCTGCGACGGCCCCTTCGAGCTCGCGCCCGGCCGGTCGCGGCGCGTGCTCGCCGTCGACTACGGCGTGTCGTGCGAGAGCGGGGCCTACCGCCGCGCCTACGTCTATATGTCGCTCGCGCTCGCGATCTACGTCTTCGGCGTGCCCCTCGCGCTGCTCCTGCGGCTCTGGGCGAACCGGCGGGGCGAGGCGGCGACGCCGTCGCAGCTCGCCGCGCGCGACGCCCCCCTCGCGGGCCTCGCGACGAAGTACAGCGGCCAGTTCTACTGGGTCGAGTTCGTCGACATCTTCGAGCGCCTCCTGCTCTGCGGCCTGACGGTCTTCGCGCGGGAAGCGGCGTCCCGTGGCCGCGACGACGTTCGAGAGATGTTGCGTGGGAAACCAATGAACTGTCGTCGCCGTCGTGCGTAGGTTCCCGCACAAGCCCGGGATGCGCGTCGCGTGCTGCCAGCTCTTCCTCCTCTTCAAGGTCTTCCTCTCCGCCAAGTACGAGCCGATCGTCCGCGAGTCGCACCGCGCCATCTCCCTCGCCTGCTGCGGCTACCTCGCCTGCTGCGTCGTCTACGCGGGCATCGCGCTCGGCGACACGACGCCGAGCCGGCTCCAGGAGCAGGTCTTCTCCGTCGCGCTCGTCGCCGCGTTCGCCGCCGTCGCCGCGCTCGCGCGGTCCGCGTCGACGAGCGAGCGCTTCTACGGCCTCGTCGCGGCGGTCCAGAACCTCGAGCCCTTCGACGCCGCGGCCTTCCGCGACGCCTGCGGCTCCGCCGCGAGCGCGCTCGTCCTCCGGAGGACCGTCTACCACGCGGCAGTCGCCATCGTCCGCGCGCCGACGGCGCGCACGTGGGCCTACCTGAAGTCGCACCTGCAGCCCCTCGACGTCGTCTGGGCCGACGCCCTGCCGCACGCGATGCTCCTCGGCGCCCACGGCGACGACGCGTCCTTCGCGGCCGCCGTCGCGCGCCACCGGGCCGCGTCCGGCTGCGGCGCCGCGGTCGCGGACGTCTTCGGAGCCGCGCAGGCCGCGGCCCTCCTCGCGACGCCCGCGGCCGGCAGCCCGACGCGCTCCGTCGGGAAGGCCGGCAGCCCGAAGCGCGCCGCCGGGAAGGCGGCCGCGGACCCGCCGGACGCCGCGCGGCTTGCCGAGGCCCACGCGTGGACGCCCTGGGAGGCCCTGCGCCTCGCGGCGCTCTGGGCGATGCGCACGACCAAGGCCGAGATGGACCGGCGGTGCGCCGCCTTCCTGGCGCTCGAGCCCTACGGCGCCTACCTCCGCGCGGAGCGGGACGTCGCGGCGGACCTCGAGCAGCCGCTGCTCCGGCTCGCCGAGGTCGTCGCCGTCGCGGACCTCGTCGGTCCCGGGCCGCAGACGGCGCGCTTCCTCGCGGACGTCGACCGGCTCTGCTTCCCGGAGCTGCTGCGGGCGCTGTCGGCGGCCGCC